GAAGACTGAACACCACGAGATTCTCAATCGCCTCCAAATACGCGACGTCTTAAACACAAAACTCTTTAAGAGATGGCACAACAATTCTGGCACAAAGTTCTACTTATAGAATACAATTCCGGACGTTAACACTCGATAAACACTATATGAAGAGGCACACAAAGAGATATACAATAATTAATGACAATCATTGCCGATAAATATTATATAGTTCATCATTAATTGTTGATTGTGTTGCTGGTAATATGAATTTGAGTGGCGTGAGTTCTACATCGAACACGAACAAATAACTGAAGATGTATGTTAAATAAACATATGGTAAGCACTAGCAAAATTACAAAACCATTCATACTTGCTACGTATAATTACACGAGTACACTGTTAGAAAAATTACCGTTAACGGTATTACCGGCGTTTCAGTGGCCGGTCGGCACGTGAAAGGAAACACCGTGTCGCCGTTTTTATTCTAATTTAACAGTAGAAATCCGTAAAACATCTGATAAAAACGGCGAAACAGTTTATTTTCACGGGGCCACCGGCCACTAGAATGCCAGTGGGACCGTTTTTTCTAACAGTGTAATATACGTATAACGGTTTCTTAAACTGGTAACGGCTCCATAAACTTCATACTTCTTACGAGGTTATGGGATTCTCGAAGTAAAAAATGCATGTGATTATATGCACGGTAATACAAGAGATATAAAGCACGGTAATTCACGAGATATAAAGCACGGTAATACACGAGATTTAATGACGGTAATACACGAGATTTAATGACGGTAATACACGAGATTTAAAGCACGGTAATACACGAGATTTAATGACGGTAATACAAGAGATTTAATGACGGTAATACAAGAGATTTAATGACGGTAATACAAGAGATTTAATGACGGTAATACANAATATAGCAATCCAAACTAGATTCGGAATGAGCGAAATGCGTCAGTGTAAGTAAACCTTTACGAGGGCAATAGAATAAACAGCCTCAATATTCACTATATTAAATTGTGCTTCCATCGATCTTACTTATGTTCGTCACTTTGAGATTTGAATCGAACCTTTACTGACAATGGTATTGCAAATATATATACATATTTGGCGGATGGTTCTTACGATATATGGTATTTCCAAAACCATCCGCATACCATCATCTCAGGATGACTGACTTACAGATGGCAAATTTCGAGAAACTTATCTGACAAAACTCTAAGAAAATTATAAACCAGAAAGCACTCCAATGTACGAAAATTATCAGAATTAATACTAACACACAAGAACCATCGCAGTTTTTTCGAATGATAAATAAAATGAAAAGAATAGTAACAACCAATTACTGAGACCAATGCCAGCAAAATTTTGCCTTCGCAATCTAAGCAAAGAAACTCCAATCAGTTAAAGAAACCTCGCGTCAAACTTGAAACGAATGTACAAAATCATAAAAACTATCATTATCATAAAACTCCTACAGAATAATAACCGTTGAACATCTCTCAGTAGCCATCTGACGTTGAAATAACGTTGATTAAACGTTGTTTCAACGAAGACAACTCGTAATGCACGGTTTTTCACCGTCATTTGGCCGAGGAGAATTACTATTGTTTGAAGCGCCGAACTGTCAACTTAGGAGAATTACTATTGTTTGAAGCGCCGAACTGTCAACTTAGGAGAATTACTATTGTTTGAAGCGTCGAACTGTCAACTTAGGACTGCCCTGGGCGGCAGTAACAGAGTTCAGGTGCGCAGTGAGACGGTGGGCGAGGCGACTGCCGCAGATGGTGTTGTTAGTACTGCCACCTGCAGCAGTATATAAAATATAAATTGAAGGCTTACTTCAAGAAATAAAGATAATTATAAATTTAAGTTGAGAGAGCTTACTTCAAGCAATCAAGATAATTGTGAATAAATTTAAGTTAAGAGGGCATACTTCAAGCAATCAAGATAATTATAATTTAAGTTAAGAGGGCTTACTTCAAGAAATAAAGATAATTATGAAGTTAAGTTAAGAGAGCTTACTTCAAGCAAGCAAGATAATTATAAATTTAAGTTAAGAGGGCTTACTTCAAGAAATAAAGATAATTATGAATAAATTTAAGTTAAGAGGGCTTACTTCAAGAAATCAAGATAATTATAAATTCAAGTTAAGAGGGCTTACTTCAAGAAATAAAGATAATTGTGAATAAATTTAAGTTAAGAGGGCTTACTTCAAGTAATAAAGATAATTATGAATAAATTCAAGTAAAGAGGGCTTACTTCGAGAAATAAAGATAAATATAAATTTAAGTTAAGAGGGCTTACTTCGAGAAATAAAGATAATTGTGAATAAATTTAAGTTAAGAGAGCTTACTTCAAGAAATCAAGATAATTATAAATAAAATTAAGTTAAGAGAGCTTACTTCAAGAAATAAAGATAATTATAAATAAATTTAAAAGGGCTTACTTCAAGCAATCAAGATATATATAAATTTAAGTTAAGAGAGCTTACTTCAAGCAATAAAGATAATTGTGAATAAATTCAAGTTAAGAGGGCTTACTCCAAGAAATAAAGATAATTATGAATAAATTTGAGTTAAGAGGGCTTACTTCAAGAAATAAAGATAATTATGAAAAAATTTAAGTTCTGGATAGAAAAAATTACTGATAAGAAAAATAAATACTGCTGATCCCAGGTTGCAAAATAAAATTGTCTTCACAGAGTACGTAGATTGAACAACGCAACTTGCTCGGTGATTACAATTCAATTTTCATTAGTAAAAAAAATAGTGAANGCAGGCCACACGCACCACTTGCACTACTGTCAACTGCAGGACACACGCACCACTTGCACTACTGTCAACTGCAGGACACACGCACCACTTGCACTGCTGTCAACTGCAGGACACACGCACCACTTGCACTACTGTCAACTGCAGGAGAGGGCACCAACACCAAGGAAGACATTCGTACCTGAAGGAGGAGGACCTCGCGCCGACTGGAGGCTCTCGATGCCTCGACTGAGACTCGCCAAGTTGCGCTCGATGACAGCGAAGGAGTCTGCCGGGGCATCGTCAGGAGCGGGGAGTGTGGAGGACATGGAGGAAGGGACGGCGGAGAAGACGGGACCCGTGACATTAGAGCCCGTGACGCGGTGCTGGAGGGCGGGACCCGTGACATTAGAGCCCGTGACGCGGTGCTGGAGGGCGGGGGACGGCGCTGCGGACGGGTTGTTGGACGGGGCGGCCGACGATCCCCGCCACATCTCAACGTAGACGTTCGTGTCGACGGACGATCCGCATCCCATACGACGTCGCTGCTCTGAAAACGCAGAAAACAAAGTTAAGAATGGAAATGTCGTAAGAATACTTCGTATTTAAGATATGAAGTATCTTAAATAGCACGTGAATATACTATTGCCTGGTATATCAAAATAATAACTGTTAGTAACCTAAATGTTATTTACATGCAGAGTCTTGAAAATTAACAGGTTACGTGGTGTGAGGCGAGCAACTGAAAACCAGTCCGGAATTTATGTCCTGCCGATATCTTTTCCTCAAAAACACTGTTCAGGAATCTTGTAAATTCTGATATCTGGCACCATTGAATTGTAATTTATAGAAAGTAAACAAGGCATACAATTAACACTTACCTAATAACCTGTCCATGGTATACGGTATAGGGGAACCTTTGATTTCACTGATGACAGGAAAACTAGGACTAGACTCAATTGTAGTGGGTGCTGACGCCACAGATGCGGGAGGACTCCCATTGACTGGGGGATCTACAAGGGGCGGTCTGGAGTCGGTCCTGATGTATGTGGTGGGGAGAGTTTGGGTGTAAGGGGGCGAGAGCACCACAGCAGCAGCTCGGTCTTGACCACAGCGTGGGTTGGTCGTGTAGTTGGTCGTGGTTGAGAGAGTTGAACCATCTTCAAAAGTCACAATGTTGCTGGTGCGAAAACTTTCGAAACTTGGTGGCTGACTACGGGAGTTTTGGCATGATTGGAATATTCTTTCCTCTTGTGACTTGGACAGCACAATTGGTGGCTTAGGAGCAAAAGTTGAGGGTGCTGGACCAATAGAAAGGGGGGATGATGGAGGAGAGTTGTTCGCGGAAGACAAGGTGGTAAATGTGGTTTCTTTGCTGTTACCGTCCAACGTGAGAGATGTAGGGTCTGGCCATTCTTTGGAACATAAAGCGGAGCCAGAACAACTCTTGCAGTTATTACTCGAGCTCAAGATGGCGCTGGAGGACAAAGTAACGAGCTGCTCTTGTTGAGATGGTAGATCCTGACTCGATTCAAACTTTGAGCGGCGGGGCGCGGGTTTGTAAGTGCGTGACACATGGAAAACTTTCTCTTTGCTACGACGGCCGAGAGAAAAACCGAATGCTTTCTTGGCACTATGCCTCGTCAAACTCCCACCAACATAAGAGTCATCAGCGTTTTTCTGCTGCGGGTCTTTGAGGTCGTGATGAAGGTGATGGTGGAGGCGACTGTCAGGTGAGGAAAGGACGGGCGCAGAAGGAGACTGATGAAGGAGGATGGCAGAGCTGAATCCTCCAGGGTCCTTGCACTCTTCCTTGTCCATCATGCGATGCACTGCACAAACACGAAACAAATTAAACCTTCATCTGACTCTACGAAAATGGCATGAAGCACGAGTAGCATTTTTTTTATTTTGGAATAAAATTAGAAGATAACAAAACCCTTTAGAAATAAACTAGAGCGAAAAGATACAAGTCTCTCTCTTCATCACAATGTTCAATCGAATCCTTGGAACATCACAGAAATCTCAGGACTAGACGTAAACTTGAAATAACTGTTTCAAACATAACCCAGTTAGCCTCTGACCGAACAGACCGAAGTTACTTTACTTCATAACATAGAGACAAAGGAAATTTAGACATAGAGACGCACGAAATTAAAGCCACGTCTACGCCAAACTTACAAATCCTGTTCTTGGAGTAGATGAACGCCTGCATCCCCAAGACGATGACGAGCGCAATGGCCATCAAGACCACGACGATGACCAACGCCAAGACGATGGCGGTCGTCCATCCACTACGTAGCAGCTTGCTGATCTCCAGCTGCGGCAAGCCGGCCACCGTACCGCCGCTAATGGAGGTTGCCTCCACTTCGGCGATGTCGTTTGGGAGCAAACTGCTGTTGTTTGGTTTTTGACTGCTGCTGTGTGATGCCTGACTGCTGTTGTTTGGTGTTTGACTGTTGTTGTTTGGTGTATGACTGTTGTTGTTTGGTGTATGACTGCTGTTGTTTGGGAGCTGACTTACGTCTGGTAGCTGACTGCTGTTGTCTGAGAGTTGACGGCTATCTGGCATCTTACTAATGTTGTTCAAGGGCTGACTGCTGTTCTTTATGAGCTGACTCTTGTTTGCAGACTGACTGCTGTTATTGTTGTTTGAAATTTGGTTTCGTGATGCGTTTGCCTGTTCGTTCTCCCAAGGCAAATAATGTTCGTAGTCATATTCCGAAAAATCGTAGAAATTCACGTAATCGGGATAATTTCTCGGGATGGAGTCCCGACCACCAGGTCCTAAGTCGTCATAGAAGAAATTGTCATTGGAGTTCATGGCGAAATTAGATGGTCTGTTGAATCTTTCGGTAGTATTTTCATTTTCCAATTTCCGCCCGTTCTTTTTGCGTTTTTTCTTGTTCTTGCGATTCTTTTTTCGTTTTTTACGTCTGTCATTCTCAGTGGTTGACGAGTGAGTTCCTCGCGAATTTTGGTTGGCTAGTGGACCGACAGCCATACGGTCTGGTGGACCGACAGCCATGTGGTCAGGTGGACTGACAGCCATACGGTCTGGTGGACCGACAGCCATATGTTCTGGTGGACCGACAGCCATTTGTTCTGGTGGACCGACAGCCATACGGTCAGGTGGACCGACAGCCACATGGTCAGGTGGACCGACAGCCACATGTTCTGGTGGACCGACAGCCATAAGGTCAGGTGGACCAACAGCCAAATGATCGGGTGGCCCGACAGCTACATGAGCAAATGGACCGCCATGTTCCTTTCCCTTAGCGAGATACTCTGCAGGATTATCACACGTCGTGTCCATAAACTCGTAACACGGTATGATGACGTACAGAGGTCTGACACACTCGGAACACGAGATGCAGGTGCCGGTTTTAACATTAAAATATTCTACTCCTCGCCTACAATGTGCGGCTACACTGGACGAGTAACCACTGCAAATTACCATCAGGACAAGGACGAACGCTGAAAACCTCGGTTTAGACCAACTGAAGCGAGGCGAGCTTCTGTAGCGGATAGAATTTTCATTTCCACAAGACGCCGAGAGGTTTTCCATGCCCGAAATCACCGTTGAAACATAACATTTTTTTGGACAGTCACGCGATATGAAAGAGTGACTCGCATCAGGGTGAGTTCTTGGTTGAAAAGATAGCATCAAAAGATGGTTTAGCTTTCGAGTGGCGTTAGATCGCATGGATCTTGAATTTGAAGTTTTAGTATCAATGGAATGTTGGCGAGAAGGGCGGTCTCCAGGAGAGGACCCTCCAGCAGCAGCCCCTGCATCTCTCAGCATCTGCAGACGTAAATATAAAGTATTCATGTATATATACGTATGACGGAGCACAATTTTTGTGGATTATTATTTTTTTAGAAGATGGTTTCGCTTCTGATTTTACTCAAGGATTTAATTCATGTTTGACTAAGTAATGCGTAGGCATATTTTTATTTCGTGACTGTAACAAGGAATCTCCTTTGCTGTGATATTATCTGTCGGGAGTGTTGCGTTGCAATCGTCTGCTAAGCGCTACTCGTCGTCTGCTAGCCCCGACCACGTTTAGACTTATTTCTATGATATGTTAATTGTTAATTATTACTTGACCTATGATTTATTCGCTTTAATGTGCAATTATTTTCCCAAACGATGTTTTTGATATAATCGTAATGATTTAAAGTTGTACGAGAATAAGTGCTGCCAATCTACGATACCATCTTAAGGTGAAGACGGTTACGTCGCCATCTTGCGTAAGCAGGCTAGACATCTTGGAGGTAGATGTTCTATAAGAAGTCGATTGTAACTTGTAGTCATGTTGTTAAAAGGTTAAACTTTATTACTGCGATTTTATTATGCGATAGTCCTTCTCATTGCATTTGATAACGCTTTTAGTCAATATTCAGCTGTCTAGAGCAGTGGTTCCCAAAGTGGGCGATATCGCCCCCATAGGGGCGGTGGCAAGATTTTGGGGGGCGATAAGGAAGAAGAGGGCGGTAGGGGGGCTATAGGGGGCGATAGGGGGGCGGTAGTCCGAAGTCAATGTCAGAAGTTCGTACATTTGTTAGACGATTTGTACACAACACGTGCAGCACATGACTCCAAGCGATGCTTTTTTCTGCTTTTTTTTAACCTAGCTCTCCTGGGTTTACGTCTCGGAAAAATTAACGGCCGGACCCGAGGCCGGTCTCACGGCCAATTTTCAAATTCAATGATCAAGGAATATCAATCAAACTAATGAACTTAACTCGATGAAACTTGGTACACGTATTCATTAGGACCTAACGGTAATGTTTTGCTCGTGAAAATTGTTCGAATTTTGCCATTTTTTGTTTTTGCCATAATTATATGGCAATATGGGCCGAAATTCACAGTGATCAAATAATTTTTTTCCAAACTACTGAACAGATTCGAACGAAAAACTCGCAAACGAAAGCAAAATGGAAAAATTGTCACGAGCTAAACATCACCGTTGAGAGGTTATGTACGTATTATATACTAAGTTTCGTTGAAATCTGTTCTGTAGTTTAGAAGAAATTTCTTGATTGCTTCGAATTTAAGCGACAAATTACCCGGTGATACGGGCCGAATATAAGGAAGTGTGAAATCAAGAATGACGGTGAAATGAAAAAAAACTCGCAAAGGAAGGTAAAATCGAAAAAAATGTAAGCAAAAAAATCACCGCTTGGTAGTTAGGACTATACATTCAAAATTTCGTTCAAATCTGTTCAATAGTTTGGAAGAAATTCTTTGATCAATGCGAATTTCGGCCTGTTTCGTGATATACGCGCAACTCACGAATGAAGGTGGGGCGATAAAATGAAACTTCACCGTTAGGTTCTGATGAATACGTGTTCCAATTTTCATAGAGCTGCGTTCATTTGTTTGGGAGATTGTTTCTTGATAATTGAGTTTGTAGATTGGTCGTGCGACCGGTCACGAGTCCGGTCGTAAATTCGCCCGCGACGTCCTTGGCTTCTAGTGCTGAAACAGTTAAAACAGCTGAAAAACATATTGGTTTACTAAATGAGTTCTATTTGTGAAATACACATATGTGTTTAACCTTTATCTTTTAAAATTGCAGCGTACTAAATTTCAAGAAAGTCGTATGTCTGTGGGGGGCGCTAGAAATTCACCAGGGAGCCAAAGGGGGCGCCAGCCTGAAAAAGTTTGGGAACCACTGGTCTAGAGGTGCTCGACTCGCGCGCTCGCGAGTTAGTTATCTTCGAGAATTATTCTATCTTATATCAATTTTCATTTATCTTTATGTGACCGATCAAAGGTTTATATTATGATTCTATTTTATTGTAATATACTATATTTTTTATTTTTGCATATAGATGATTTATTAGCCCATTTCTTGTACATTGTAAACGGGGTGTTGGGTTAAGCTCATCTTAGTTGAGTTACCCCTCGCGGATGAACCTTGTATGACTGGGTGGGGGTCCGGGGGTGGGGGTCCGGACATTGCAAATCGAATTCAGGGGAGCCAGATCTGGGCTTCCAAGAGAAAACTCCACCATAGTTCTGGACATATATCGTAAAGAGATCCACTAGCGGACTGATTACGGCGTATATATAAGGTGCTTATACACGGGGCTATTATAGTTGCGTCTACTACGGTTTACAGGTTGCGAGCCCATACACGAGTATAGTGTTTTCGGTACACTGCTGACTGTGCTCGCGTCAGTGCGACATTGGGAGTTGTCGAGTAAGGGTGTGCACGGTGGAGGCATGCGAGAGCACGCCAACAGTGCGTGCTTCAGTGGGCGAGAGAGAGAGAGCGACGCAGCTGTGCTCGGTATGACGGCCGGGCGGCTACTGAGCGCTATAGTATAGACTGCTCCAAAACAACTCGAGGTGCTCTGCCTGCAATTAACCAGCTAGTTGCCTCTGAACACATCAAGCATCACAAATTTTAGTAGCCTCGCCTAGTAGACGCAACTAATATAGGCAACTAATAGCCCCTTGTATAAGCACCTATATAGGCGGAGTTCTTGTCGAGTTCCAGACATGGTAGCGCTCTGGTACGGCTGATACCCGTGCCGAGCACCTCTCGTGTAGTGGAGGCTAATAACCTCCGCACTCGAGTATATTTGTCAGCGTTCTGGTGCAAGCAACGCATAATGCTAATTCAATAAAATGTTATGTAGAGTAAAATTATATCTTACGTAACATAAGGAAGTTTTCATATATACTAGTTAAATCCTAATCAACAGAAATAACAAGCATCTAATGTAGCTCATAAAACACGGACGGAAAATTCAGAAATTTTTAACTCGTTTTCTATTGACGGATTAAAAACCTTCAAGTACGAATAACACTGAAAAAGTTAGTTAACACTGAAAAGTCTTCTACTTATTCAATAAAGGGTCGAATTTTCAGCTTCGGAGGTCGCTTTGCCGCTACACTAATCATTAAATGCAGGATCCTGACCGCTACTTGACAATGAATATCAAGTTAATCAAACCATGGAACACTTATTCTATGGTTTTCAAACCATGTGTTTGGCTTTAAAACCCCGAAAACCCCTTATTCTATGGTTAAGCCACTCTCGACCGTTGTTCCTTCATCTCATGCATATCTTGCATCCAAACGCAAGCACGGTGGCATACCGAATACTTCCCTTGAAATAAAATGAAAATAAATCCGAATTTAATAATATCGATGCAATGAATGTTTTATTTTCAATTTGTTTTTGATTGGCTAAGAATTTGTTAGGTGCCTGCCTAATCAGAAATGCAATAGTTTAAACGCACAAAATAATGAGAAAAGAATTGGCTTAATACGAAGCTAAGATGAAACTAATTCATTACAATTCCCCTGCAAATCGTCTGCTGGTATTTCAACAAATCAACATTACGGTATATCCGCCGTTATTTTAACAAAATAACACATTTTAATAAAGTTTCATTTCCTTCACCCGAGTCGGAAAATGCGCGCTGGCACATCAATTATTCCACAGGGAATAATTGATTATTCAGGAATGCAATACGTAATTTAAACGCACACTCAAATTAGGTACCCAAATAGTAACACACTTTTTATCAGCACTTTTGAAGAAACTGGGTCAGAGTGACCCGAACAACGGCAAAGAGTACATCGCTATTCGGACAATGTCTCATTCATTATTTTCTCTGAACTTTTGTTAATATCATGTTTACTATCAATGAATTCGCTACTGAACTGTTGACGTCTTATGACCGGGAGAAAAATTATTCACCAGAATAAATAAAAATATAATGTATATTAAAAAATCAACAGACACTTATTCTTTTCAAAATACATGGAACTGAATAGAAGAAATAAAGTTATTTCCTGGAAAGAAAAAACAGACTGACACCGAATAAGACGCACGTGAGCTTCGCTCGCAGGCGCACGAGAGAGCTCGGAGGGTTCGCAACGAAAGCGAAAACGGGGGCCAGACAACAGCTGATAGCGATGTTTGTGTGCCGATAGCAATGTTAGGCCCAACCAAGGCTAGGCCTTTAATAAGCGGAAGCCTCTTTATTGTCCCAACATACGACTAGAACGTCAATGTCGCCAAAGCACTCATGTCGCCAGCCTTCAAAAGAAACCATCATTTCTACCAAAAAATTTCAACCAAAACTTCTGTAGCTAGATCGAAACAATCTCACAGCTATTTGAAGATAATCGAACCATACAAATCAGAGTTATTAGCGTGGAATCATAGTTATTAACGAGTGGAAATTTATATCGGCACTTTCTAAATTCATGCTATGTGTTCAAAAAAATACGTTGAGAAATTAATGTTCCAAGCTCCGTCACCGAAAATACTTTCAACTTGGATGCATGGCTGCACGATAGCAAACTAACATACTTGCACCGCACGTCTATGCATCACGTGTATTAGTGGCAGTACAATATGTCCAATGCTAACTGCTGTAACTAAAGGCAGAGCCATTCACTCAGAGATATGAATGGGCAATATTGTCCTCATAGTGACACTTTCCGCACTTTTGCCGAGCTCAACTGGGTCAAGATGACCTACACAAAGGCTAAATCGGCATCGTTCTATGGGCAGTCTCATTCATTTCTCTACGTGGCTTGCTCTGCGCACCAATTTATTCGACTAAGAGTTCTGCACTAAGTGCCCCCAATTGCTACAGAAAACTAATTAATGCAGAAAAGTTCCCAAAAACATTAATCTTCCAGAGCATGCATGGGTTATGATCAGTATTATACGGTTTTGTTAGAGAGCGGCAAGTTTAAGTATCTGTATGAGCGAGACGACTCAAATGCCATTAAAGGTATCATTCAAACTTGCCCATGAGGTGATAAGTAAAATCTAGATAATTTAGTGCACTGAAAAGGCTACAGATACGGAGAAACTTTAATAAATTAAACTGTTATCAACTGATCCTCGTTCAAATTACTGTAACATTAGCTAAATACTACGTTCCATCCGACCCAACAGTCTCATAACTTAGTCAACTCACATAGGTTAGGTAGTAACTATTGTGCAATCGAGAAACGACACTACGACAGTCGACAGATCGAATTTGCAAAAATCGACCTCAACTAAACTTGCAAGATAAAACGACGATTTCAGAACGAAATTTCGTGCTTGAAAGCACGAACATCACATTGATCTTGCATGGAATTGAAATGATAGCACATGTTATTAGCGATAATGTATTAAGTATTAACGATGCAATAGGCATAAGAACAATGAAAAAAATAGCGTGAAAGGCTGAAATGAATGTCCCTTCGACGATATAAAACAATCCCAACAAATTTTTATATAGCAAATGATTATTTGCAACAGGTATAAGCACAACATGGCAATAGTACCGAGGTTGCACGTTAACTTGATGGGTCAAAATACGCTCGCCGACACTAGCGTTCAAATTTGGCCTTCTCTCCGGCCACAAGTACCTACACCTGGGTGCAGAAGCGCCTCCTTCTGGCTTCAATTTGCGTCAAACGGAGCATCTGTTACTAAATTCTTCCTGATATATAGAGAAAATTGGTCATTGATCTAATTTGAAGAATAAAAGTTTCATGAAAGATGATCAATAACGAGGTAAGGATTCTAGCAGACTTCTAGACAGACACCTGGCGACGAAAAGACTGCTTCGAGCGCGAACTTCGCATTGAACTCTCCAAATAGGTAGGAATTCGATTATTTCCGACAAAATTTGTGACGATTTTGATTGAATAACTTTCTTCAAGTTCATCATTAACGCAATAGATAGTTTTTACTATTATATACTCACTTTGGTATCTTAGAAATAGTACACAAGCAAGATACCCATTTTTGAACATTCCAAAGTCGAGCACAGAGGCATCACACACCACCACGGGCAACTGCAGGAACGCAACTGCCCGGATTGGCAACATCAGTGTTGCCAGGTTTTTTCTTGGCGAGAATACCAGATTGCCTAGCTCAAAATACCAGAAATATACCAGAAATTCTATCGTTCAAAAACAGACTAATACTTCCAAATTTAATAAAACTATTCGTCAGAAACGTTGGTTAGAAAAAAAATTATCTTATGTACTGTGCAGTTATCTGGCTTGACGATAATTAGCCAAATTGAACACGTTATATTTTTTCACTTCTGTTTGGAACATTTTAACACTTTTCTTTTCCTGTGTTTGATTACATTGACACTTTTTCCTTTTTTTTTATCAGCGTCATTATGGCACTTTTTCCTCTTCGCTCAACATGAGCAAGCCACGGAAACAGGTCATCTTCATTTTGCTTATTTTCGTACATGCTTGCATATTGCATTAATACTACATGTCAGTGTCAAGGTATACCAAATCAAAAGTTTTTTATTTTCTGTAATGTCGTATAAAGTCTCAGTATTAAATATCACATGGAAACAGGCCCTCACTTGCTTTGACGATGAATATTATTCCAAAATAATATAATGTTACGCGAAAATTTAGAGAAACATCCAGTGTAAAAGATCCATGGTTTTGTCGTAATTTGGAGATATAACATAAACCATTAAAAATTATCTAAACTTATGCCTTAACGTTCAAAAACTTTGCTGGAAAATATGCGGGACACACAATCACCCACCCATTCGGTGTATAACGTGTATTCAATATAATTACATACTATTCACAATCTTATTATCCACATATTTTCTTCCGTATTGAATTATATAATTGCAACAAACAATAAAGAATATAATGTTTTCAAATATACCTTTTCCTTGGATTAATTCTCCTTACCTGGGACGGCCTACAAAAAAAAAAAAATTCTCCGCGGGCACGTCCTTTTAAGGAGACATCGCCTGAGACGACCTCGCTGGTCAGTGCTCCTTGCTAATTCATTCAACGCTTGTTTTAACCTGCAACAGCAGAATGCAAAAACAAAAACATTTATTAAACTGGCATTAGCTTCTAATTTTCAACAATTTATTTGATTAATATTAGAGCTGATAAAAGATCAAGCTCGATATACGCTTGACCTCGGTACGTAGCAAGCGGCCTGCAACGCCATATTTGTCCGCAAACATGCGACCAACACGGCTCAACCTCAGGCTATGTGGCCATGGTCGATTCATATGGAACAGTTTCTCTAAGCACAGACAAGAAATCATCATCATTATCATCATTTATCAACACATACTTCTATCATTAGTCTGCTTTACTCGCTAGATCGCCAATAACTTGGAAGCAAACAGAACATCAAGGAATTTCATCCTCGATTCTAAAAAAAAAAACGTTTCGGAGACCAGCTCTATCATCACCATCATCGTCATCATCAATATAAACATTATTTCTCGGTCTGATGACATATTTAACGGGCAGGACATCAAAGTGTGTCGTCATTTCGCGCTGAAGTCAGGGCAGGAAACAAATATTAGCACATTGTACTACCAGCACATTGTACTACCAGCACATTGTACTACCAGCACACTGTACTAACAGCACATTGTACTACCAGCACATTGTACTACCAGCACATTGTACTACCAGCACATTGTACTACCA